GGCTTTAATACTTGTACTTGTTGCTCTGGGACTATGAGTTCTGTGATTTTATACCCTGAGGCGACTGGATGGTCGTAGCTTGTAGAATGTTCTAGAAGGTGGAGTGAAACCTGCGCGGCACGTCAAAGAACTTACCGTATGTGGCAAGGAGGATCTAGTAGATTCTAATATGGAATATTCTAGAAGGCTGCGGCATGTTGGTGAATAAAGTTGTTGTAATCGTGCATTGAGATCCGGGCGACGATGGTGAACAGAATAACAATGGTGAATATCACTGTTGGAGAAGTCTAATATCAAACACTTAAAACTCACGTCACTCATTTACTTGACAGGAGGCATGGGGCTGGCCAATTCCAGTCAATGGGATATTCTACGCACCTCCCAAATGTCAACGAACAGTTTGTTCGTGCCCCGGTAGTGGTGTTTAAACGAAACTGGATTAATAATATATACAACACTCGCAGCGCATTAAGATCTGTCCTTATCTGGGATATGGACACTCAATTTCGGGGCTGCCAACCGTTCCATGTAATCCTAAATGGTGAGGATATTCAATACCACGAAAAAATCAATATGGGGAGGAATAAAAACGAACCCTAAGCCATCGTTCCCGCTGTTCTGGTACATGATCGAAGGCTGACCACCTTGAATCACCCTAATCGCAATTTCAAAAGTCATTAATGAGCCTCTCTAAGGCGAAATAAAACGTGTACGCACCTTAAGGACCTTCCCAACCTCATTAATATCAATCCCCTTCGCCAACTTCTTCAAATCAGCCTTACCACCTCCACCCTCCCCATCTTCTTCCTCCTCATCATCAGCAGGCACACCCCCCTCGGTTCCCGCTCCACCAGCTTTACCCATACGCCCCCAAAACTCCAGAAACGCATTCTCCCCAAGCATAACATCAAATGCCTGCCGCGCCTCACCATTTCGCACCCGTTGCCACCGCTCAAACTCAGCCTCGAGCTCCACGTCTTTCCGGCGCTTCCGGGTCACCATGCTATCATCAGAGTCATAGTCCATATCGGATTCGGGATCCGCGAAACCGAGCTTTGACACGGGAACGCTCCCGCGGATCGCCTTGTGTGCATTCTCCTCCACATCGGGCCATCGGGTGTTGAGTCCCGGAACATGGGCAGCGAATAGGGTGTTTAAACCTTTGATGTACTTTTCCCTCAACCGCATGACATGTTTCGAAAACAACTCTTTCTGAACCGGCAATGGCAGTGCCGAGAGCACAAATCGAGGATCGTTCGATAACGAGGGCGCGATCACGTCCCATTTAGCCTAGAGGAAAACGAACGAAAAGATCATATCGCCCCAGGTCAGAATATGTCCAGAGGTGAGGATACCACGTACCTGAGGATCACGTACTGCATCCGTTAGAAGCGTCCTATAGTCCAAAAAAAAAACGTGCCAGTATCAGTTGAACCACAGTGGGAACATGCAACCCTCAACACGCACGTGAACTCTCGCTCGCCTTCTTCCCGTCCAAGAGCACCGCGTGTCCGCCCGATCTCCCGTTCTAAGCCTGCGCGCTCACGACGAATCTTTTCTTCGCGTTCGCGCAGACTGCGTTCAGCGCGTTCTTTCTTGCGTGCATCGTAATCAACTTGGTCTTGGTCTTGATCGGCGGTTTTCTGCTCGTCCTCTTGGTTAGATTTTGAGAATTCTAGGGTGGTCTGCGCGAGGGTTTTGATATATGTTCCAAAAAGTTCTTCGCGAAGGGATGAGGAGTTGACAGCATCGTAGCGTGGATCTTTGGAGTCAATTTTGCGTTTAACCTGAATCTGCAGGTGAGTACTAACACCAAAGACAAACTAACAATATATGCCTCTCTCCACTCATCGGCTGGCTTGATCTCCTTATGCTCCCTTAACAACTGGAAGAATTCCCTCTCGGCCTTCTCGGCCTGCTTCTTTTTAACTACACGAAGAATGAACAATGGCCGACAACAAAACGCTTCATGCGACATACCTTCCCCAAGCTCCTTGATCCACTCCCTGAATGCCTTCTCTCTCTCCCTCTCCCCAGCCCACCCAAAGAACCGCCTGTCCTTCTTCCACTTTCTCCGGAAGTCCGTCCATGACATACGCGTACTCGTCACTTCCTCCTTCAGCAATCGGTTATAGGCCTCTTTATCCTTATCAAGACCCGCGCTGGTCGCACGGTCGGCTGCTTCTTTAAGAGCGGCAGCTTTGGCGGCACGTTGCGCGCGTGCAGCGTCGCGACAGTATTCATCAAATGCTTCACGGCGAGCGGCTACAGAAGGGAGAAGGACATAACGAGGGTCGGAGATGAAAAGCGGGAGAGATGTATCCCAAGGATGGAGAGGATTAATATTCTTCTCGGTGAGAAGCGTCTGGGTGGATGTGGATGTCTGAGAATATCATCAGTAGACAAACAGAATAAACTTGCCTTGAATAAGGCCTTGGACTCTTCGATCGACAGATTGACACGGTCGGGAACGGTGAAAGATGTCTTGCCATCTTTTTTCTTCCGTTTGGGTGGTGGTTCAACTTTTGTTGCAGTATCTGGGACGTCCATGCCGGTCTTTTCTTCTGCTGTCAATTCCGCCGCCCCTTCATTTTGCATGTGTTCCTCATCTGTCTCTTTGTCGTCTTCGTCCGTTACTTCTTCAACGCGTGCTTTTTTGCTTCCCATTTTATCCGTGTCCGTGTCTTCAGCAGGCTCAGAAGCCTTTCGCTTTCCAGCAGCCACAGCACCTTTCACTTCCTCCATGACTCTTACGACTTCTTCCTGCTCCCTGCGCTTGTTTTCTTCCTCTTCCTGCTCCTTCTTTTCCTTCTCTATCCTCTCCTTCTCCAACTGTTCTTCTTCCTGCTTCTGCTTCTCCTCCCGCTCCATTTCCTCTACTTTTTCTTTAATCTCGTCTGGGACCACCCATACGCTTTCTTTCTTCTCCTTATGTGTCCAGAAAACGTTACCTTCAGTGGTCTTCACCCGTATCCATTGAGTTCCAGGAACAGGTGTCTTGAGAAGCGGCTTTTCTTTCTTCTTCTTCTCCTTTGCACCGGGGATGACAGCCCCTGGTGGTATGAAAGGTAAACCTCCGGGAAATGGACCAGTAGGTATTGGCCTGGTGTAAGTTGATTGGTTTGTAGCAGCGTGATAGTAATACGGCTGACCCCCAGGAGCTGTTTAGAGCATGGGTAAGAAGACAGATAGTTATGTTTGACAAGATAAGAAACTTGACTTACCTTGGTGCTCGGTCCATCCTGGAGGAAGTGGTGGAGGGATAAAAGCAGTGAAGTTAGGAGGAGCACTCATAATCTTTAGTAGAGCGCGTCCATAGGTGTCCACATCATGATGAATGTTGGCGATATCAAAATACATTACGTCAAATGACTCAATTCTGAAACTGTAGAGTTTCTCCGAGGTCGCCCGCATATAAGTTGTGGAATCTACTAGATAACTATTACCTGGTATAGCAATTTCTAAGACGTGTCGACAAACTTCACGTCACCTCCCACAGCCATGTTTGAAATATAAAAAGTCAGAGATATTGTATGTAAGGTCCAATTTCCTCTTTTAAAGCGTCTGCAACCAGCTACTACCAACCATTCAAATGTCTCTTACCAGCTACTTCCATGACCACGACCCTTTTTCCAATTTCTCCGAGTTCAATCGTCTCTTTGACGATGCCTGGAACATGCGTATCGGGAATCGTCGTGGTGAAACTTCCAGAGACGTTCAACGTATGAGCGATGGCTCTGGCTCGGAGGTAGATTTCGTTCGACCAAGGTGAGCAACGCTCAGTCGGGACTCGGGTCCAAAACTGCCAACTTGACGTCTAGGATGGATCTCCACGAGTCTAAGGAAAGCGGGGAGATGACCGCCACGTTTGAGCTTCCGGGGATGAAGAAAGATGAAGTCTCTATTGACGTGCAAAATAACCGTTTGATGATTTCCGGACAAAGCACTTCCTTGAAGCATCATGATCAAGACGGCTACTCGGTTCGTGAGCGCAGGCTCGGGAAGTTCTGTAGGACTCTTCCACTCCCTACTGGTACCAACGTATCATATGTTTTTTTATTCAGAAAATTGTCTTATTGACGTGCTTTTTTTGTTAGCCTGAAAATATCAAGGCTAGTATGGAGAATGGATTGCTCTTCGTCCGCTTCCCTCGAACCAATCCAGAGCAGGAAACAAAGAGAGTTACTATCGCTTAAACGATTGACACGTTATGATCAAACGAGAACATGGACAAACCCATGTGCAAAACTTTGTATTTTAAATGACAGCCAGTCCTCCTCCTGTAATACTAACATGTACAATGAGAACCGGTTTGGATTGTAAAACTAACTGAATAATAGTGTCGTCCTCATAAGTTCGTTATGATTTAAAACTATTTTCAAAATTGATAATTATGTCACTGAGGAGAAAAGGAAGAAGCTGTTCAATAGAAGAAATAGCGGCACAGTTATATGCTTATTTTCCTTGACTAGAAAAATGAAGAAAATAATACAGATAAATGGTGAGTTGAGCATATACCACATGTCTGTTAGCTTGTGAAGAAGGCTCGGACGGGTTCCTTAACTGGAAGACTGCCGTCAATTGCAGCCTCACCAAGTCTCAGTCCAAGTGTTGATAGAACTTTATTAGAATTGGAAATAAAATATCTATCTGGCTGTATTTATGTGTATGGTACAGTGGACGAGTCTGGATAAGGGGAAGGCCGGAGAGCATCAGGAAAGTGGGATGATCAGTAAGTATGCTGTCTATATCGTCTAGAGCCCTCTAGGAGAGCTACTGTAGCTAGCTCGGCTAGACATGGCTAGACACACTACTTTCGCGAGATCCCTATTTACTAGTCGGTATAAAAGCTTACTATAGATCTAGGGAGGCTAGGGAGGCTCCGGAGTCTACATAATGGGTGTAGACATTCCCAAATCCCTGATGAGGACCTATATTTGCATATGATACACCTGATGCTATACTGTATATATAATCCATTATATAACACTAGACCAAGATGTCCAGTAGCTCAGTGGTCAGAGCACTGGCTATATAGGCAGGGGGTCCTTGGTTCAATCCCAGGTTGGGTCAATAATTTGTGCTATGTTTAACATGAACAGACATGGCAGTGCACACTAGAGGCATCCCAAGATTTTCAGAGTTGGAAAATCTTCAGAAAGTCTTGCTATGTGGCCACATTTTCTAAGCATTTTTCAGACTGAAAAACTGTTTGAAAATTTTTAGTTTGGTAGGGTTTCAGAGGGTCAAAAATTGTATCTGAAAACCCTAAAAATTTGCATCAGGAAATTCCAGGGAAACATTGGTGGAAATAGTATTTTTGATGGATTTTCTGAAAAGAAAACTCTTAAAAAACCCTCTATTTTGTTAGGGATTTTTAACCCAGCAAAATCATAATAATGTGCCTAGAGAAACCAATTGAAAACCACATATGTATGTATTTCTACTCAATTTTGCCTTTCAGGGAATTGAGTGAAAATGGTGATTTTCTGTAAGGGAGTTGGTGTAATCTTTCCTTGTTTCTACATTTCTCTTCCCCAGCCTTTTAGCATTTCTCTCTAATTTCTTCTATATTTTTCTTGATATATTTTAATTAAGATATTCTCTGAATATTTTATCATTTAGTTCATATTGTGCTATCTGCTCTGTTTGAAATTCTGGAGCACCTTAACAGTTCATACAGTACAAGGGCACAACACATAAGTTGAAGCCAAGCTCCACCCATTTTATGGAGTTGGACCTCCCAACTAATATGATCTCTAATGTTGGCCCCCTGACTTAGAGCCCTCTTTCTACTCTTTGCTTAGATCTCAACAAGTCAAGAGCAAATGTACAGTTGCTTGAAGTTTAAGGCAATGTTAGTCAAAGTTGAATCACCCCTTATATGTACATAGTTCGATTCTTCACAATACAACAGAAAGCTGCAATGAGAACTCAAGGTTAATGAGAAGTTCTGAGGAAGTGTGAGGAGTATGCTTTTACCACAGTTTCATTGTGGTAAAACACTCCTTTTATTTCATTTATATTTTACATATTCTATTCATATTTTACTATCTTTCATATTCTTCGAATATCACATATTTCATTAGTTCGAAGCATTGTGTATACTTGTGGGTGCACTCAGCACCAATTGGAACTCAGACACACTTTAACCCAAGAACCACCACTCGTAAGACACAAACTAGGTCTACTACGAGTGGTGATCAGGGTAACGTGTCAGCTACTACATAAGTAGCAATATCTGAACTACTAAACACTTCTGGCCTCGAACTGTAATAGTCGAGGCCTCCACTCGAACCATTGCACTCGTTGACTCCTTCGTCATCTCGTGCTCTTTCTCTCACTTTCTCTTATATTGCACCGATTAGGTCAATATCCTTCCTTTCTACTCATTTCTTTGTATATAGAACGGTCAGAACTTCCGCCACTCTTCACAGTGGTGATCTGGGCCGGACCGTTCTTTCCCTACGAAGAAAATCTTATATTCAAATACGAAATTCTAACTATACAGCTGCGAGGTGTCAACATTCACAACTTCGCAAAAGGCTGTCTGGAACTCCTTGCACGCTGAGCGTTGCGAATCTGGTCAAATGGAAGGTAACTCAAACTTCGAGCAGTTGAGTCCCTTGGAAAGGCAAAATGCTCGCATCTTCATAAAGGATACCCTGGTCTTCCCGCCGAGACAAGTTATGCTCGAGCATCATGGCCAACTACTTTATTCGGAGCCTGTCAATGTGAAGTGGAGCTCCTACTACACTTCTCGAGTTTCGAGAGATAAGGTTGTCACTGCCACGAAGGATTACAGGACTAGATACCCATCCATGCCTGCAACAGTAGCAGTTTGGCTAGGTCGGTATCATGGCATCATATCAGCACACGATTTATTCACTTGGCCTGGAACTCTCGACGAGGTAACAAAGTTGATCCCGAAGTGGTCAAACAAAGTGATGTTCTTCCGAGAAAAGGGAATAGCGAGTATCAAGATGGAACTGTTCATTCTGCTCTCCGATTTACTTTGTGTACATGATGATCTGCTACAGATTATGCATGTATTGCTCGGAGGGAACCACATCATGCCAAGGGTCAATACAGATTTCAGATACATTCAAATGTTGAAGGAATCCATATACGGTAAACCCTCGAATGTGTGTTTCGCCTACTTCACTCTCAGGTCAAGATTGATGCGCAACCTGGAGAGATGTAACAAGATGATGGCGGAATTGCTCAATGGGTTTGATGAGCCAACACGAACACCCTCTGGTCCCTTTCACGAAGAATGTCCTGGAATCCATGCCAGATCAACTGCCAAAAATGGACAGTCATCTTTCTCGAATGCGTCTGCAGAAAAGATCACAGCCAAAGTCGTCTCCAGTTCCCCATCATCCTCAGGTCGAGATTCGCAGTGTCCTGATGAATCTCGCCATCCATCACCTATCCATCCTATCCCATTTACTCCGCCGAGTGGACCCTCCAATAAGTTGTCCAATAGCTCAAATGATTGGGACTGCAGTAAAGGGTTGGAAACTGGGGGGCAGAAATCAGATGATGGTTCTGACAATAGAAAAGGCTCAGAACAGGACTCACCAACGGTAAAGGCATCCCATCTTGCAGGACTCGACAAAAGCTTTCCCATGGAGATACCACTGGGAAGTCATCGACACAAGCCCCTAATTCCAGCATGGGGGCACTGACAAGGTTTCTGCGAATGGAAGTCAATCATGGACACACCGCGAAGGATACCCCTCGACAGACCAAGCCAAGGACAGATACATTTCCGTTCGACCCAGGGCGCTCCCTCGAAAGATTACATCAAGTAGGGGACGATCATTATGTTGCGAGATTGTTCTGGAACAACAGTATCGCAACAGGGGGGCAGTAGAGGGGGTATAGGAGAAGGCACATATGGGATCGTCACCTATTGCCAGCAAAAGCATGCAAACGACTTTGTCACCACTCTCGCTGATAGAACAGTCGAGAGTGGGGTGCAGTGCGTGAGCACATAGGTGCAAGTGTGTGGGAGTATGGGTGCGGTGCATGGATGCAGGTGTGGCAGCATGCAAACGACTGCGTCACCAGTCTCGCCAATGAAATGGTCGAGAGCTGGATGCAGTGCGCGAGCATGCTGCGAGAGTGCGCAAGTGTGGTGCATGGGTATGGTTTGAAGATGCGGGTGTGCGCAGGTCCGGTGCGTGGGCGTGGTTTGAAGGTGCAATTGCGCGGGTGCACAGGTGCGGCGCGTGGGCGTAGTTTGAAGATGCCGGTGCACTGCGCGACACGTGAATGTGCGCACGCGTGACACGTGAATGTGCACACGCGTGACACGTGAATGTGCGCACGCGTGACACGTGAATGTGCGTGCGCGTGGATGTAGTGCGTGCGTGCGGGAGGTGGTGCGTGCACACGACGTGTGGAGGTGGTGCGTGCGCACGATGCGTGGAGGCGGTGCATGTGCACGACGTGTGGAGGTGGTGCGTGTGCGCGCATGCGGGATGTGGTGCGCGCGCGTGGCGCGTGGATGTAGTGCGCGCGTGCGGGATGTGGTGCATTCGCGCGGCGCGTGGACATGGTGCGCGCGGTGTGTGGAGGCGTGTGGACGTGGATGTGCGCGTATGGCGTGGATGTGGTGCGCGCGTGCGGCGCACGGATGTGGGCACGCCGCATGGGTATGCAAGTGCGCTGCGTGTGAGCGTGCTGCGTAAGTACGGGCGTAGGGGTGTGGGCGGATGGGTACGGTGTAGGGGTACAACGCATGGTGGTGGGTGCGGTTTGAGAGACGCAAGTGCACTGTGTAGGCACGGGCGTATGGGCATAGCACGAGGATGTGCTGCCCGCGTGCAGTGCACGGATGCGGGTGCGACAGCACAGGTGTATGGGTGCAGTCCATGGGTGCAGTTCAAGGGCGTGCTGCGCAAATGTGCAAGTGCGGCAGGGATGTGGTTCGAGGGTGCGCTGTGCGGCAGTTCAAGGGTGCGCTGTGCAGTGGTTCAAAAGTGTGCAAGTCAGTATAGGGATGGCATCACCGAGCAAGACAACGCCAGAGAGGTGGACATACCTTACTCAGTCCTTCCAAACAATGAGGATATGAGGTTGACGGTCGAGTACGACAGAGTAAAAGACTGACTTCCAAAACTTGTGGACACATGTGGACACAGGGCCGTGTCACCTCACAACGACGCCTTCACACCGTCTTCTACTCTTAGCCTTTCCCTCTGCTAAAGCTTTGTACTGAAATAGTCAAAGCTTTTCCTTTCTGACCCTTGCAACTCATAGGTTTGGTACACACCGTTCAACAAGATCCTTCCTCATGGTCAGAGCTTCGCACTGAAATAGTCGAAGCTTTGCCTTTCTTGACCTTCGCGACTTTCAGGCTCGGTGTGTGACACTTTCTGATCAGCCATTCACAGATTCGGATTCAGTGTGCGACGCCTTACGACACTGCCCTGATAACTTCACACCATCTCAACCTTCACCTTGCTTCTTCAGTAAAACCCATGACTTGTCTCGATGTCGGTCTTGGTCCTGACCTTGGTCTCGCACTCTTCCCCACTCCTTGTCATCAGCATCAACACTACTACTGTCCCACGACGTTGTTGACTTGCAGGAAACGGTGTCGACGGAACTTCTCTTGGTCAGGGAGACATCCGGGGAATCTTATAGCAGAGGTTATTTCAAAGGAACGTCGAAAAATAGAGGGATGGGGTATGATGGTGTGATTGCATGACTGCGCAGCAAGAGTTCACAACCGCACGATCACGCTGCACGGGTGCGCGACGGCACGACTGTACGGCCGTGCAACAGCGCGACGGTGCGACTGCACGACGGTGTGACTGCGCGATCGTGCTGTACAAGCGTGCGACCGCACGACTGCGCTGCACGGGTGCGCGACGGCGTGACGGTATGACTGCACGACGGTACAACTGTACAACTGCGCGACAGCGCGACGGTGCGACTGCACGATGGTGTGACTACGCGATCGCACTGCACGACAGTACGACTGCACGACCGCGCTGCACGGGTGCGCAACGGCGCAACTGTACGATGGTGCGACTGCGTGATGGTGCGACTGCACAACG